GTGTTACACCCCCTCGCATGTAGTTGGGAACAATGTGGGACAACCCCTGCCATAGACTGTCAACCAGTCATTCTGCCCTGTGCCTCCACTTATCAAGGCTAGATCTATCCGTTGTACTAATAGGTACTTTGCTTGGTTTTACTATAACTTGCACCTAGTCATGGTGGTTTGTAAAGCAGTCAGTTCTGGCTTAACCAGCTAGCTATGATTTAGCATGTCTGAATCCTGCCATGGGGTTAGGAGCCATTGCGTTGATTTGTAGACCGGTCTCCCTGTTGCTGGATTTAGCAATGAGGATGATGGAGCCTCCATGATTTATATTTTGTTGATGCTTCAGGGTATAATATAAGAAAGAGCAGGAGGCAAAGTGGTTGCTTTGCCCAGGGAGTTGTCAGAGTCCAGCAGTGCCTCAAAGCGATCCAGAAGGGGAATAGCTTGGTGCTTTTCTCCTTTGGCTGAGGAATGTGCTCAGGTTGGCTCTTGCTTGGAGCAGATTCTTCCTGGCCAGCATTTTTGGCAAGGTCTGTTAAGAGTAGACCTTTTTTCAGCAGATAACATTATCTGGCAAGGAAGGAGGCAGAGAGATGCAACTAGCATTAACCGTGGGTGTGGAAGGTGAACATAAAACAGATCTCCAGAGAATCAAGTGGATATTGCATTAGGATTCCAGGCTGTAGCTGGTGAGTGTATTAAGTTTCCTTTGGGTACTAAACTGAGTTATGTCAAGTATTTAAAACTCCAGGTTTGGAGGATCTGGTTTGGACAAACAGCAGGCTGAGGTTATTAGTTCAGCCAGTAACGTAAGTAAAATGTACTGGGGGGATGAAAAGCCATTGAATTTCTGGTCTAGCTCAGGTCTGCCGGCCTTTGCCAGGCCCTGCTTCTAAATGGCTAAGCGGTGCGTTGGTTTGTTGGGCTGATTTTACTGAGACTCTGCTCTAAATTTTCCATGATTTCACCCCTTATCTTTTGTTTGTTTATTTGTTTTCAGTTTCTATCTGTGACTTACCAGTTCCTGCTCTGTGGGGTGTGCAGTGCCTGTGAAGAAAAAATGTTTACTGTTTAGGTTTATCTTTGTCCAGCAGACATTTTAGGTTGTCTTGGGAATTGGTGTGTGTGTGTGTCTGTATTGTTTGTGTATGTATCTCTTCTTCCCTCTCCGAGTACTCATTAGTGCACTGGAAGCATTTTCCATTCCCTTCTATTGGAGGATTGCTCAGAAGCCTCTCCATTCTGAGCTGCCAAGGTGTTCCAATGCATTTCCCTTCTTTTCTGTGAAGATGGGAAACATGGTCTGATCATTCTGGTAGTTTAGGTTGTCAGGGTCATTTATTTTGCTCTGGAATGGTGTGAAATTCACCAAGGAAAGCTGAAATAAAATTAAAGTATGTGTGTGCATGTACTAGGGGAGCAACCATTTTCTTTATCTGAATACAAGAAGACAATTGAGGTTGGTGAGGCTTCCCAATAATTAATATATTCAGTCTGCAATCACCATCTTCATAGAGTATCATTTTGGTTGGTTTCAGTAAAAGTCCTGCCCAATGTTGGGTTTTGAAAAGCTTGCCAATGTCACTCTCAGATTCAGCTGGTGGCACTAGAGAGCTAACTTAATGGAACTCCAAGCTAGTTACAATATGTGTCTGAATTTGATGTGGCAGATTTTATTTATACACTGACACACACACACAGCATTAGCATTAACTGGGGTAAAAACTAGGAAATACGGAGTGCTGAATCTAATACGGAGGGGAAAAAAACTATGAAATACGGGGTGGTGAATCTAATCTTTATTTGGTTTTAAGAAAAAGCTGTTTGTTTGAACTCTAGTATTATAATAGGCTGGGTTATGTACCTTGGGAGATGGTTAACTTGAAATGATTTGGTGTGCCATGTTCAAGTTTTGATTTCTTGCTTTAGCTGAATAGGTCATTGTCTCTGTCCTCTGGAGCCTCTAACTTTATGCTTGCAGGAAAGCAAATCCAGTAAAGTTAGTTTACATAACTTTATTTGTACCTACTCTCTTTCCAAGGTTTATATATGCCAGTACCAAATGTTAAGTGTAGTTGCAAAGATGCTAGAAAAAAATAAAGCTGCTGGTTAACGTTGTGGAACTGCAAACACTGCTATACAGACATTTAGTTCTTTGCTTTGTATCTTCTTTGCTTCTCGCACTGCCTTTTTTTTATCCTTAACTTTGAGTTCACAGCACTTTGTCAAAAGTTGGGGTTAGTGCTGACTTGAAGAAGGAGACAGACAAGAAACTGTCAGTAAAATCAGAAAACAAGAGCAAATTCTCTCAGGCAAAGTTGTTGGCAGGAGCCGTGAAACACAGAAGGTATGTTTTGCACCTCTGTATTTTTGCACCTGAGGCTCAGAGTGCGGCAGTAACAAAGAACTCAGGTCTTTGAACTCTTCCATGCAGAAAAATCCAGGGTTTTTGCAGTTGGATCTTGGATGAAATTAATTTCTTTTCCTTTAGAGCCAGCATTATGACTGTCACATGCACATAAGTTCAAAAATGAGGTTCCACATATCCAGAAGCATCTGGTTACTTTCAGTTGCTACTTGCCCCAATAGCTGAACAGCTGCTAAGCAGCAAGTCTTCTCAGTGGTCTCATTCAGGAATTGGATCTTTTCCTGGGCAACATCCAGTAAAGGAGAAGCCAGGCTGTGCCAAAGGATTGAAATTGATTTAGCGGGGACCTGAATAATGAAGAAGGGGAGCAATAGAATGAGTGTATATTGGATTCTTGCCTTGAGAGAAACCACAGGTTGGAACCCTACTGCTAAGCTAAGGTGCCCACAGACATGCCTGATAGACTCTTTTCTCACTATTCACTACAGTATTTTTAGATGTTGAAGGTTAGTAGATGGAAAACTGGCATGTTGTGAAACACTGATCCTCAGCCTAGTGGGTCTTTCCTCTGGATCTTTCCCAGAATCCTCAGAGGCAGGTTTATGGGAGGCTTACCTGACCAGGAGAAACAAGGGATAAGCTGGGATGGTAGTGAACAATGAGGAACCTAGAATGGGTGGTAGGAAGCCACTCTTAAGTTGGCATTTGTGATTTGTAATTTGTAATGTGAGAGCATTATTTTCTTCTGGAGGAGAAAGGATATCCAATGTGTGAACAGTCAAACTGTCTTCATAGCAGCCATTTTGTTAAGATATACTGTAGTCCAACATGTTCTCCTAATTGCTAATTTGTCATTGGCTTGCAAAGATTGTCTTGTACTATGATAAACCATAATGGTTGGGTTCTTGAGCTTCTCTTACTGCTGATGGTTCATTATCAGGCTAGTAACAGCATCAGATACACTGATGATGTTCCCTAGTCTGGTAATGAAACATCTGCAAGAAGGAAACCAAACTCAGATAATACCTGCTACTCAAAAATTCAGCTCTGAACTACATCTGTTTTCCTTTCTTGAAACCATCATGGGTTTTTTAGTCTTTGATTTACCTTGCCAGATGAACACTGCCTTGTAGTTTGTAACTCATAGTTTATGGTAGTATGATGTACATGTCAAACCAGTTGTGGCATCTGAACAAACCGTGGTTACAATAAACTATGGGTTAAGTATGACATGTGCCTCTGATTATGATCTTTTTGCTTCCCTGTCTTCCATAAATGAAAAAATTTAAGCTCCGCTCACTCTTTGGATTTTTGTCTCTTTACAGTTCAGAAGGCACCAATAGCGTAAAAAGATTGAAACTGGACCCGGATCCTGACCACGATAAGGTTCCAGGTGTGTGGATGTGTTGGGAAGGGCCAGTGCGTATGGGGCTGAGACCGCAAGCTCTGCCCTCCTTTCACAAGTTGCCTTTGGGAGGCAGGGATGGACGGGGATTTTACTGTTGTGCTATTGGATGGAATCTAGCAGCAGACTAGACTGAGCGAGCAGCCTTTGACTGGGTTGTTCTTGGAAGAAGCTCTTCATTCAGGGGCATCTGGTAGGAGAGGTGACTCACCTTTTTCTTGTTCAGGGTTTTTTTAAGGAGGAACAGCAGCAGAGAGAAGGCATGTAAGGGGTAGTCTCAGTTTCTGTGGCAGGAATACATTTGCCGTCACCTTCTTTCAAGATGCTTTTCGATTTCCTCGTCTAGCCTACTATCCCCAGATTTGCTGTTGGTGTCCAGTCCAAGAACTAATCAGATCTGACCCTGCTTTGCTTTTTGAGGTCAGCCATGTTGGTTAGGTGCTGTGATCTAGTTGAAGGAGAGGGGGGGAATTAATGTGGTTCAGCGTTGTGGTTGGATTGGGGTGACCTGGTGTCTGAGAAGTGTAAGGATGACTATTCCAAGCTTGGTTTCCTGGTTTGAAAGCAACAAGCTGCTAGTCTCAATACAGATGCTTCACTGTTCCTTCTTCACCTGATGAAGCAGCTTGCCAAACACTAACCCACAGTCTCTTTTCACTGATTATGCCCCTTGAAGTCTCTCCCAAGGCAGAATTGCTGGAGAAATGAGGGCAAACTGTGGACAGAAGCTTCACAAAATTGGACTATGTCTGTATTTGTTATTGTGCCTCATCCAAGCTTTTGCTCTTTGCTTCCAGAGGCAAGGCATGTAGTTAATCAAGAGAGGGTGTTGTTGCACACTGACTCTCCATCTGCTTGGTTATCTCCCCTTCCAAGTGTCTCCAGGCTAATCAGCCGCAGAAGGTTGGCTGTCTCTAATCCCTTTCAATATTAGTCATTCTCCCAAATGCTTGAAAGGTATTGTTGATAATTCTGTGTGACAGAACCAAAGTTGGCACTTTGAGACATGTTTCACTTCACCAGAGACAGAATGGGCTTAGATCTTTGTCCTGGACAGAGAGTCTTCTGAGCCAAGGTTTCCAGAGTCTTTCCCAGGTCCATCTGGGGACGCAGGGATTGAACTTGATATTTCTTGCCTGTAGATCAGTTGTTTTGCCCCTGAACTGTTGCCCTTCCCCTTCAGTTTGGTCCTTTTTGATGTAAGGTTGGCACCTGCAATGACATGGAGGGTTTGGGCTCACCAACTGTTGATAAGATAAAGGCAGATTGCAACTTTGGGTGTACTCAGGCTGAAATCAAGAAAAGGCTCCATCATGTGGCACAACAAAATGATAAAAGCTCAGTTAAGAGGTCTAGTAAGATAGGTGCTTTCATTGAAATGTCAAAAGATGGGATCCAGCTTTTGATTGCCAAATCAAGTTGTTCATTGACTAGTTTGATAGGTCACCAGTGGCATTTATCCAAGCTTCTTGTTCTTTGCAAACATGAGATAGCTCCAGCAAATAAAAGTTAGAGGATATGCAAATCATGAATTTTAAGTCAATTTCAGGAGAGTTAATAGCTCTTACATTATCATCTGGATATGTATATTTGCTCTTAGTTCCAGGAATCTCTTGCTCACATAGCTTCCTGAACTATCTCAAAGCAATGTGCCAAATAGTGAGAAAGTCGTGGAAGAGCTTTTCAACAACTGTAATTATTTCATTTCAGAACGGAGTTTGAGGCAACTGAAGCAGAGGCTTCAAAGAGATTAGGGCAGCGTTTCTCAACCTTGGCTGGCTGGGGAATTCTGGAAGTTGAAGTCCACACACCTTCAAGCTGCCAAGGTTGAGAAATGCTGGATTAGAGGGTTAAAGGCTTTTTTGATGCCCATACGCTCCTGTCCTCAGTGACATTCCGTTCAAAGGACACTGGAAGTGGAGCGTACACATGTAAGCCTTGCCTTTCCATGGTCCTTTTTCTTCTCTTTCAGAAAAACCATCTTGTGTTCCACTCAGCAGCAGCTCCATGAGTGGTTCTGCAATCCACTGCCCCTCAGCTGCTGTGTGCATTGGCATCCTGCCCGGTCTTGGGGCTTACTCAGGAAGCAGCGACTCCGAATCCAGCTCAGACAGCGAGGGCACCATCAATTCGACGGGCAAAATTGTCTCCTCTGTATTCCGTGGCAGCAATTTCTTCGACGCTCCGCTCTAGGCTTCTTCGCGGCTTCTTCGAGTTTCGCCCAGAACTTGTTTTCTTTTTCATCCCAATCATTCCCTCAACCTCACCACTTTTTTCCCTGTCTCCCTTTTTTGGATAACACCCGAATAATGTACTGCGGCAATTTCCATGGGTGTCTTGGTCTCCTCTTTCCCCCTGCCCCCAGCCTTCTCTCTAAGACCGTGCTTAGTTTGGGAGGGAGTCTAGCTAGGAAGAAGATGGTTCAGGAATACCCATGGAGAAATGCCTCGGTTGGAACAAAACACTTGGTCCCTTGGAGGGCAGTGACAAGGAGAGCCTTAAAAGTGAAAGGAGGGGGGACAAGTCACTTTTAGAAATATTCTTGGAAGAGATAAGTGCCAAGAAATGGTCCCCCTGTAGCTTTTAAGTGTCATTATATAACTGACAAGGATGGGAGAGATGACAAAATCACACAGGTCGTAAGAAGTGAATTTTGAGAAGTGTAACCAAGTTTCCATGTTGCATTTTATTAAAAATATCCTGAAGCATTTTTTTTTTAATCTTGGATTTTGCCATTCATAATTCTTCACTCAGTCCTTCCGCTGTGCTTTGCTATCATCTCTTGGACTCCCTGCTGGCTCTCCTCAGTGGTCAAAATTCCTCAAGCAGTGGAATTTTAAAGCGGACAGTTCTGGAAAAGCTTGGGCTTCCATTCAAGGTTATCATGATATTTTTCCGTAAGAATACTAAGGGGTTCTGAATGAGTGGCTGGGTTTAGTTTGGGGAATTACTGCAAAAAGTAACACTGATAGTAGATACATAGCGGAGAAATAACTTCATAATGCCCAGAAATCTGGGATGAGGCCAGTGAGCAGCCCGGATGCTTTGGGAGACATACAGCGTATGTAGTTCAAGTTTAATGCTTTGATTGATGTACAAATGAAACTTTAATGTTCGCACAGTTGATATTGTGAGCTCTGTTGAAGAAAAGCAATTAAACACATGGATATTGGACAGGCTTCCTTGAGAAACTATGCTTGTCATGGCTGATTTGTTAGGGACCTTTTAGGAAGCACATTCTGTTCTGCCAATGGAGGTGTTTTCAGCACTGAAACGAAGCTAGAAGTTGGAGTAGTCCTAGAAATAATTAAGTGCAGGTATTCCCAGGCTGTTTTAGGTCTCTGAGAACCTGGAGGGCGAATGTAAATTTGATCTCCACTTCCGTCCTCTGCCTGTTGCTGTAAGGATTGCGTTGATCTTAAGGTCTGAGTGATGGGCTGAGCTCAGCCTCCTTTTCCCAGCCATCCGTAAAGAGGGTTGAGAAGGCTACAAAAGCTTAGAGGAAAGTCAGATAGCGTTCATAAGATTTGGTGTTTAAAAAACAACCTCAAAAATCCAAGAGGGAAGAATCAGAGGAGGGGACTGCCTGTCTCCTACGTGCTGGACATGTCTGAGAGGAGGAAGGTAGCCTTTATTGGACTTGTGTGTGAGAGGGAGGGAGGGTTATTTGGGTTGCAATAGAAATGGGGTAGAGGCATGTTTTGGGGGGGAAAAATCTTTTGGTGCCTGAACTGTTGGAAAAGTGCAGGGAGTTGTCAGGGTGTCCTGCTTAGAACGTGGACGGGAGGCCACCGGGAAAGCCTCAAGTAGACTGGACAGTTGAAAAATGATATCCCAGAAGGTCACAATGGCAAACTGCTTCTGTGCTGTTTCCGAGACAGCAATACAGACATGTTGAGCTCAACTTGAGAGTGTCTTTATAATAGGATGTAGAGACCCTGTCCTGTACCACTCACTGCCTGTCACAGGCCGTGCAGTTCCCTCCAGGTGAAACAGGCTTCGAGGAGTCAGGTCATTGCCAATCTACACTTGGAGAGAGAAAGATGCTTCCTTTCCTTTGCAGGAACTGTGACAAACCAGCCAGCCTCAGATTTTGGGTTGCAATCTCGCGTACGTTTTTACGACACCGTTGATTGCAGTTGAACTTAGAAAGCGGTGAGCAGCTTCTTTGTGTACAGGATTGCTAATAAATTTTTTGATGTATCTAGCCTCTTCTAGTCTTTAAAAAGGAAAAAAAAAAGCATCTTAAGTACTTTTGTTTTTTTCCCCTATATCGTTTTTCATGAAGAGTCAGTAACATCCTTCTGAGCAGACGATAAAACAACCCTTTGGAGCAATGTTTCTCAATCTCGGCAACTTGAAGATGTCTGGACTTCAACTCCCAGAATTCCCCAGCCATCCATCCATCAGCTTTGGACAGATAGGGCTGTAGCACGCTAGGCACGAAGAAACTGCTAACAGACAGAACTGTTGCTGTCATGAAAATGTGGTGGGGAAAAATGTCAGCTTGACTTCGGGAACCAGGCACAAGCCTTGGTGGCAACTCTCAAAAATGATTTAATTAATTAAATTGTTAATCAAATAATTATTAATTTAATCATTTATAACCTCTTATAATTATTCTTTTTGTTCTTAAGACACCTTCCCCAATATAGTTTAATAGGAATGTACAATGGACGTGTTTGATTTTCCATAATATGATTGCTGACAAGGAAAACTTCAACTCGCTCAAGACATTTCTAGCTTGCAGCTCAAATTGTCCCCTTGCAAAACTCTGGCAGAGTTCTTTTGCCAAGTAACAATTCATAGATTGGATTCCAACCTCTTTAGCCAGGTCACTCCAAATCTAATGATTACATTTCAATATGCTAAATATGATTAATTTCATTTATTTATTTATTTGTGTGTGTATTCATACTATGTACATCCAGACCTTTTGATTAGTTATTTGGCCTCTATTACAGACTCGAGTTAAATGTGTGATGTGAACACAGCCCTAAAGTTGAGACTATGCAACATCCCTTGAAGGGGGACGCGGTGGCGCAGCGGCTTAATGACGCTGAAAGTTGCCGGCCAGAAATGGTCGACGCGTCAGCGGTTCGAGGCCAGCCTTC